TATTTTAAATGAAGAAAGAAAATAATGGAACTGCTAAAATGAAAACCTACTCTCAGAATTAAATGTGTTTTTTCATCTCTTACAAAAAAAAAAAATAAAAAGAAAATTATGTTCTCTATCTTATTATCTATCTTGCATTGATGACTGGTTAGTATTGACACCTTGTGGTGTTGCTGAGGTGGCTGAGTGCTGGATTTCACCCTGCACTGAAATAGCATTATCTGGATATAAAATTCCAACTCAGTGGGACATCATTACTTAGCCCTGTGTCCTCGGAGGGAAATTTGCCATCAGTTATGTTTCCTATCATGTTTTCTGAGAAAACATAGAATTTCTGTTATAAGAATAATGTAATTTCCAATGTCTGGAGTATTTTTTTTGCCTTGAGGCTTATTGCTAACTCTGAGGTATATTGAGATACTAAGTATATATCTGGATTAGTATCCATAGGAAGGTGTTTATATTTGTCTCAGAAATGCACTTTCTTGGTGAAAAACCTGCAGCTCCTCTTTAGTTAGTTACTCAGATGAGCTCTTGAGGGTGGTCAGTAAATGAACATTTTTGTTCACTAAAAATAACATCAAATTTGAATGCTACTATTAAGCATGTTATAGAGTCCACTGTACTAGCAGCAAGACATCATAAAATATACTTTATTTTTTTTTAAAACATCTCTAGTTCTTTTCAGTTAATCTCAGTAATGAGGCCTTGTAACTTTCTCTGTAATGCATTAATACCCACAAAAGTGGTTTGATGGAGAAAAATTCAAGAAGATATAGACTTGTACTTGTTTTGTAAATAAATACAAACAGGTGTTTCCTTGTAACATTACAGTATCTTGCTTATTATTTGGTCTATATGTTCTTTATATTTCAGCTGACATGACAATTATGTTGCAGATATACTGATATATAATAAAACAGTATCTTTAGGAGGCTTGCTGAAAATGTTCCTTTTTTTTGTTTTTCACTTTCAGTGCTATCACATGTATTGTAAACATCATGGAAATGAACAAAATACTTCAATTTATTTCTCTTAGTTCTATTTAAGTGGTGAAACCCCTAACTCTTCCTATTGGTTTTCTTATTTTTTGCTTACAGATAACCTGTTGAATTATTTTCTCACAGTCTTAGCATTTGTTAAAAAGTACCTAAATCAAGACCATGATTCTTTTTATTATGAGTTTGCAATGCATTATAAATTCAGGAGGCATGCAGTGTTGAGTACAATCAGCATGGTTAATCAGGGCAAAGGCTATGGCACTTTCTGCCACTTGGTGAAGGGAGCTTCTTACTCTTCAGGGGTAGGCTCTACCACTCCTGGATGTCCAGAGATTTTTATTTTTTTTCCCAGAACAGTTAACTAATTTTACTTTTTTTTTTTTTTTTTTTTTTTTTTTTTTTTTTTTAGAAGAAAGATATTTTATTTTCATAAAATTTTATGAAACAATTAGGAACAAATCTTGGGTATCTGGTTTATGGTTGTGGACTTCTGAAATCTATCTGCTTGTTTTCTCAAAGTAACCAGTTCAGTTCGTTACATTTTATGAACAATCATTTTACAATTCCTTATCATCATTAGACCTACATAATTCATAGTTGTCTTAAAGATACTACAGACTTTATGGAGCAGAGAGTACCTTTTTACACTAGAGTCTAACAAAAATGGAGACTAATCCTTATTAGGGCAGTAAACTGCTATTATAATATGAAAACAAATTTATTTTAATCAGGTAGATTGTAGTCTTCCAGAGTTTCAAGTTTTGTCAAAAGGTCATTATCCATGTTTGTGTATAAACTTGCATAAATTCACCATGTTAAAATATATTTGTATACTCAGACATCTAGAATGACTTTGTTTCACCATTTATCAGGGTTGTTTCTGCACTTTTTACTTCAAAACAGAGAGGAAAATTATTTTCTTTTAATAGCATGTGAGGAATCAAATGAGGAATCAAAGAATTACCAGATAAAAATATTTTAGTAAGATATATTTATAGGTAATCATTAAAAACAAAACAAACCCCAAATCCAAAAAACAACAATAATAAATCCTTAGTTTTCTTTATGTAAGGGTTCATAAACTTCATGAAAGACTTTTCAACCACAAAGGGTACCACAAACAGCAAAATGACTGAAAATGTTACAATGGTTTATAATGAGTTATCAAGGTGCTGGGGTACCTAAATACTTTTCTACACCTCTGGGAGGAATGCTATGTCTAATAAAGATGATTTATTTTTTTTTTTTTAAAAAAAGGCACAACAGAAGTTTCCATCACTTTTTAGGTTAAAATTCCAGTGCAGGAAGCATCTTCCTCAATGATGGGCAGAACACTCAAGAACAGATTCCCACAGGAATTAAGAGTTGCCACAGTTCTTTTATCTCCTAAAGTTCATATCACACCTCTTTGGCCTTGTTTTTGTTAATGCAAACACATGGCCCATAGTATGTATATTGACAGTACACATAATTTTATTAAAATAACACAATAGTGTTGTGCCTGTGATTCAACCAGGGTGAATGGACAAAAGAGAAAACACCACACCCAACATAGAAAAGCAATCACATACCATGTGCAGGTGTCTAAAATGAAATTAAGATAATATTTGCTCATATAATTCTGTTGGTTTTGACAGAGCAGGAAAATTAATATGTAAAATTTGCATATTATGCAAGACTTTAGAAACATAAGTTGATCCAGCCAGGTTGAGTGAAGGGCTTTGTGAAAATTTCTCTTTGATTCCATGAATTGGATAAATTGCATAGGGAAAGAATCACAGTTGGCTTAGATTGACTGTAATAATTAATAGTCTTTTGTAATCACCATGCTTGAAAACATGCATGAATTGCAAAGAAGAGGAAGGTTGGTTGGTACAGCTTGAGAAGATAATGCTGAATCTCCTTTTAGTCTCAATTGTTACTCCACTCCTCTGTTTTAGTGTGTTGTTCTTATGGTGAAGAAAAAAATAAGTAATATGAATTGTTTTTTTCTTAAGCTGTCTTTTCTGTCAAAGGGATAAATTACTAAGGCTTTGGTTAAAAGTAAGGCACCAATATGTACAACATAGTTTTCTAGTTTACAATTTTGTGGTTATTATATGTTTCTATCACTTTTTCTTAGCCTACAGACTCCATTTTTCCTTCTCATTTTCTAATATACAAGAAAAAATTTTACAGTGCAAACCATTCTTCTTTCATGGTACTAAAGTTCTGCAAAAAAGCCTAGGCCTTGAAAAACAGTATTTTTAATTTGCTGGGAGGACAGTGCACTCAGTGGAATAAAAATTCTACTGTGTAAAAGATTCTTAGATTAAGAAGCAAGTGGACATTTATAGTGTCAGTAAACTATGATGTGACAGACTGCTTCTAATACAAGTTCAACTGGTAGCTTTACTTCATTCTTGCATTCTTTCCCCAGAAATATTTAACATTTCAGTAGCAGTTTTAAAGAGCAGTACTCTCAAATGAAACGTGGTTTAGATGTGATTCTTGTTTGTTGCTGCTATCTTTAGCACCGTGCTCCTCAAGGCAGTGTGTGGCACAACGGGTAAAGTCCGTGTGTGCTAAGCAGGAGCTCAGAACACACACTGTCTTTAAAACTATCACCTGTGCTGAGAGCTGCTGCCTTTTAGTCCTGCCATCTTTTTTTTTTGTTTTTTTTTGTTTTTTTTTGGTTTTTTTTTGTATCTAAAAAGGGGAATTATTGAACTACTGCTTTGGTGACCAAGAATAGTATGTCTGTGAACTAAAAACAACTTTAAATTTTGTAATTGCTTACCTGCTAGTGCAGGAATTATAATTTTCTCCTCTGCAGAAAATCATTAACTGAGAATTGCACCCAGCTTGTAAACTTCTCAACTATGAGCAGTTCCATGGAGGAGTCATTTGTAGTAAAGTGTTAAACATGTATGCAAATGTTTGCAAAAGATGAGCCTAAGATCATTCGTCTCTGAATGCACTTGATTATTTCAAACTAATTTGTATAATGAAGGCTCAAAATTTAATTTACACACATATGTTCTTTTGATGTTGTTTTTTTGTGTAAGGCAGTAATATAATTTTATTTTAACATTCTTGTTTGACACTATTCTCTTGCTTGTATAATCAGCACCAACAGAACATGAGGAAATAAAAAATGGACCTCAAGTCCTGACAAGTTTTCACCAAGTAAGCTTGGTGACATTCTGAATTATCTAGGAATGTTAAAATATAATAAGTTTATAGTGCTTCTATTTGCTTGTGAGTTGTTAAGATAGGTAGTTCATATTTTAAACTGATAAAACTGGAAAGGAAATTCAACACTCCTTGGAAGCATTTTGGTACTTCATAAATCACAAGTATACCCCTATTTTTCTCTCTTATTTTGGTCCCTTGTTCTTTCCTTTTCATATGGGGTTTGATTTTCCAGCTACTGGATATAAAGAATTTGGTTTTTATTAAGCAGCATGCTGATTAGGGAAATGGAATCATAAGACATCCATCTATATTCATATGTATTAGTGCCCATCATTCTATGCTTGTCATTCAAACTGTTTTCAAAATTCAAATATTTGAACTTAGATATGTTTGGGGAATTGCTTAATGTTTAGAGGCATTACTGATTTATTTGCTTTAAAGGATCATACATCTGTTGATATAAATTTCTGATATATGTTTCTTCTTATATTTAGCTGTTGTTCTTACCAGTGCAGTCTGTAGGAGAAACAGACCAGACATTTGATAAGAAATTCTATAAATGTTATTATTTAGTGTTAATCATTGTAGGTCCTTTTCCTATTAATATGTTTATTTTTGGAAATCTAATTAGCTGAGGAAATATTGAGGAAATATTTAACTTAAGATAAAATTGATACAATGTTCTAGGTATCTTGTAGCTTTTGAAAGAATAATTTCAGATAATAAATACTGTATTGAATTGCCTGTCAGGGAGGACAAAAATGTTTTTAAAAGTAGTTTTACATTCATCTTTTACACCAGTTTTTTTTCTCTTTCTCTCAGAAGTTTAGAAAGAATCTCAAGCAGCAGAAAATAAATCTTGGCCTAAAGATGAGCTGTTAACATATAATAAGCAGGTGAAGCAGGTAAGCAGGTTTGGTACTATTGTGAGATGGTATTGTTTTTCCCATGCTTAGGGTCTTGATACTTCATAGCACGCAGAGGTCTGCAAGCTGTTTCTTTACCACCTGCTCTTTAAAAAAAGATTTTCTATAAAACAGGTCTTCATACTGGTCTTGCAGCTTAAGGTTAGAGGGAAAAACAAATTAAGGTTCATTCGGTCAGATGTTGGGTTAGGCTTTTCTTTATGAGATTGGAAAGAAGATTATACACTGAACAATGTATAAATAGAATCCTAATCTACATTTAACAAGTGTATGCCTTCCTAGAAAATAGTTTAATGCTCAATATCCTTTTTTAGTTTTGTGATATTTCAAATGACAAAAACTGTCATTAGTATACCAATTCTATAAAGCTTAGATTTTTCAGTAGACAACATGTATCAAGTGTTTATAGACAGTAGGTCACATTTGTTGGCAAGATGGAATAATATCTTTTCTCATGTGTTGTAAATTTTTAGCATTCTAGTATTCCAAAGCTATAACCAGAAACTAAAATAAAAGCTTAACTTAATTCCTTCTGCAGCTTTGATGTAAAAGATTACTTTGCCTTAAAATTTTTATTTACACTTGCCGTGAAACAAATAACACTATTTATTACATTCACAATGATAAAATGAGAAAGACAACCAAGAATGGGATATGTTTCTACTGGGCAGTGTTTTGTGCAGAGGTACCAGATAGTTTTGGCCTAAGCTTAAACAAATGAGATGGACAAGGTTGGAAAAGCTACATGGGAACACAGATGCAGGTGTTGAGAAGATAAAAAATCAGAATGAAAAGAAGATGAGACAGACACACATGTAATGCTTTTTGATGGCCCAGTATCTGTGAGTTTGTTATTTCAAGGTCTAGTCATCATAAAGCAGAGGTCTAGTTAAAATGATAAAACATCTGAATGTCTAAGGGCCTTGTTTCAGTTTCTTTTTTAGCTCCTTGCACTGACTGTAGTTTGGCCCAGTATCTCTTCAAGCTGAGTGGAAAAAGGCATGGAGAGAGGTAGGCATGTGCCTAGAATTCCAGAGCATTAGCAACCAACTTTCCTGGTCAGCCAAGATCCAAAGATACACACAGTTTATTCTGAAGAGTGAGGGACAGTGAAGCTCTGGGAGTGAGATGAAATATCGAGTCACAGGGAGGTGACAGATATTCCCCATCAGTCCTGGCACTCCATTCTGCCATGGGGCTACAGTGGACATGCAGTATAGCCCTAAGCCACCTGAGCAGTTTCAGCTGGCAGGCTTTCTTCTACAGAGAAGGATTAATATTTCCTAGCAGCTTTTGTGGTAGTAAAATTACTCCTGTTAAATGGGTTACAGTTCTGTTGAAGAAAATGGATGAAAATTAAATTATATTACTTAAAAAAAAGATCTTCCAAATTAGATAAAAAAAAGAATTTTGAAATTTTCCTTACAACATTTGTCTGTTTACAGGTCAGAAATGTTTCCAGCACTTTACCAGAAGTAAAATATTTCAGAAATCTCATTTGCCATCTGTACTTGATTATAATGTTTCTTATAATTAATATTAATCATAGAACATTCTGTTTTGGAAAAACCTCTATGACCATTAACCTAACACTGCCAAGTGCTTCACTAAGCCATGTCCCTGAATGCCACCTTTACACTTCTTTCAAATGCCTCCAGGAATGTCCCTTCCCTGGGCTGTTCCAAAGATTGACAAACCTATCTGTGAAGACTTTTTCCTCATATCCAGTCTAAACTTCCCCTGGTGTGACCTGATGCTGTTTCCTTTTGTCCTCATGCTTGTTACCTGGGAGAAGAGACTGACTCCCAAGTCACTCCAACCTCCTTTCAGGTAGTTGTAGAGAGTGGTAAGGTTTCCTCAGTCCCTTATCCCCAGTCTAATCAACCCCAGCTCCCTCAGCCACTCCTCACAAGACCAGATGGTTCATGAGTTTTGCTGTTCTTCTCTGGACACATTCCAGCCCCTCAATGTCTTCCTTGCAGTGAGGGGCTCAGAACTGGACACAGGACTTGAGGTGTGGCCTTACCAGTGTCCCGCACAGGGGGACAATCTCTGCCCTGGTCCTGCTGGCCACGCTGATACAGGCCAGGTGCCACTGGCCTTCTTGGCCACCTGGGCACACACTGGATCATGTCTAGCCACTGTTGACTGGCACCTCCAGGCCCTTTTCCACTGGGCAGCTTTCTAGCTACTCTGGCCCAATCCACTAGCACTGCCTGGGGTTATTGTGACACAAGGGCAAGAGTGGTGACTGAAATCTGAGATCATTTGCCTTATGGAAACTCATACAACTGATCTTGGCCCGTTGATCCAGCCTGTCCAGATCTCTCTCTAGAACCTTCCTACCCTCAGGCAGTGCACCCCATCCCCTCATCAAGATCATCAATAAAGATATTTAACAGGCCTGACACCAATAGTGAGCCCAGGCAAACAGCACCGGTGCAGGTGGGTGTAACACCACCACTCTCTGGGCTTGGCCATCAAGCCAGTTTTTATCCAGTGAAAAATGCATCTGTCCAAACCATGAGCAGACAGTTTCTCCATGAGAATGCTGTGGGAAATGGTATAAAAATCTTGACTAAAGTCCAGGAACACAACATCGACTGCCTTTACCTCACACCAAACAGGACATATTGTCACAGGAGATTAGGTGAGTCAAACAGGACCTGCCTTTCACAAACCCATGCTGTCTAAGCTTGATCCCCTGGTTGTATGTGCCACGCGATGACAACAATCTATTATTCAAGTTGAAAGTGCATTAAGATGATTTTCTCCATGACCTTTCTGGGCACCGAGGCTGACAGGCCTGTAGTTCCCTGGATCCTCCTTCAGTCCCCTCCTGTACATGAGCGTAACATTTACTGCCTTTCAGTCAGCTGGGATCTCCCTGGTTAGCCAGGAGTGCTGGTAAATGGTTACAAGCTGTCTGGTGAGCACTTCCAACAGTTCCCTCAGTACTTTTGGGTGATCCCATCTGTCTCCATAAACTTTTTTGTGTCTAAGTGATGTATCAGGTCACTGATGTTGTCCCCTTGGATTATGGAGGCTTCATTTTATCTTTCAGGTTGCAAGGCTTGGTACATGGAGAGGAGCCGGTCTTACTGTCAGAGAGCAAGGCAAATAAGGCATTAATGACAATGTTTGTAGGTAGTTTGAAGAGTATACTCTGCAACATCAATTAATCTGTTGGTTGCTAATCTAAATATGCCAAATTATGTATAAACAATACACAGTGCAGTGTCATTGATGGTTATTTTTATAATATTAAAGAATATGGTAAGATTAATTATTACTTCTAAATTATATAGTACTATTCGACAAAAAAACAGTTTCATTTAACAGTACTGGGATGCTGTGATGATATTTTTTAGACAGTATTAAATATTTTGAGCAGCTCAGTATTTTGGTAATATATGGGTGCTATTGTTGCAACAATGCTCATCAATGTGTGTTCAATGATCTTACAAGAGAAAGTTACTTGCAAGATTTGCACCTGAAAAGATAACATGCATTTGGTTGTATTTAACACAAATACTACATAATTCAAATCTATTATTCAAGTTGAAAGTGCATGCTTTTACACACAGAAAGATGAATGGAGATAAGTTTTTAGAAAAAGAGAAATTGTTTTAAAAACTCATATGAACTAGCTAAATGCTCTAATGTGTCCTTGGCAGAACTATTTTAAAAGAAATTAATTACAATGTACTACATATTCATATTTCTGTGAAGACTATTCATTGTCATGCTGTTGTGATGTATGATTTCAAAAATATTTTTCTTTGCTTGGTGGGCTGAAAAGCCTATGCAATTTCAAGAAAAATTGATTGATTGTGCAGATGAACTTGCAAATTTGATTATACACAAAGAAGCCAGATGAAGAAATGCAGCTATTTGCTTTAGTCACTGTAATCTTTTGTTACATTTGTAACTGAATTACATAAATATTTTTATTTAAAAGGTTTTGTGCTAGTTTTCTGGTGTTCTACAAAGAAAATTAAAAATGAGGTTATATAAATTCAAAGTGTCTATGTAATACTAAGTGTGCTGGGTCATGTTCTCTGATTTTAGTTTTAAGGGAATTCCTCTCTGCTTAGTGTAGCCTCCATTATTCATTAACAAGAGTGTGTTGAAGTCCCCCTCTATGGTGTGTTTCACAAAACAGGTGAGATCACAGAGCTTTGAATCACAATTTTAAAGTAACAGCTGCTGTAATTTTAGTTTTGACTGTTTCAATTAGCTATATTGGTGTCTAAGACATCACATGTTTTTGAGTATCTTCTGTTTCTTTGGATATCACTTGCATGGCTTTTAAAAAAATTATTTCGTATTGACACAATTCAAAAGCTGGAAATAGCAATGAATCAAGTCACTTTTCGTCCTTTAAATTTGACAAGAGATTGTGATGGAAATTTATGTGACATTCAAAATCATAATCTCATATTTGGTTCATATTATTGATACATTTTCAGGTAGACATATTACTTTAAAGCTTTTCTGTATTCTAGAATTTTGTTAGCTTATTGTCTCTGTGTGAAATTTTGATCAGCTTTCAGCTTCTCTGCTGCACATTAAATATCTGACTGTGTTCTTTTGTATTTTTTTTCATGTATATGCTGACATAGACTGTGGTGTTTGTTTCAAAAATAAACTGACAACATATGAAGCAATTTTAATTTTGAATAAGACTTTTCACAATGTAGTGGCTCATTTAGGTATCTTCTACAGTTCTCATTATTTTTTACTATTTTATTTATGTTCTTGCTTATTAAATATAAGCTTCCACAATTTTTTCCTGAAGTAACTCCTTCTAGGAACTTAAATACTGCTGAAGTTGTCAATAAATATAGATATTGTGCACAGTTGCGTTCTGGGATAAATAAAGCTTGTGAATGGAAAAAGAAGAGTAAAATTCTATGGTTTTATGATTCATTTAACCAGACATGTGACTGAACTCTAAATTAGAAAGGCAATTTTCTTGAAATAATTGTGTTCTTTGGGCTTCTATAGATTAAGATAGACAGCCTTCCCAGACTTGAAGAAGTAATTGCCATGGTGTAGCAGGAGGAGATGGGCCCAAAAGTGGACCTACTTTTTACATGGAGATAGACTTTTTTTCAAAATAAAGCACTTCAAATTTCATTTTCCCCACTGTGTTGTCCTATCTTTTTGATGCTGTGATTATACTTTTTTATTTCCTTGAACCTGTTTTGTTTTGTTACATATACAAGCTTTTAGGTGAGGTTCAGAAGAATCCCTTCTATTGTTTGCACTGCCAGTCTGTTTTAAAGATATTTAAAAGGTCGCAGGAAAGAGAGCTCTGAAATCATTCAGGCTGGACTAGACCTCTGGAGGTCATCACAACATGGTGAAAGCAGCACAAGGGTATAGATTCTGAGGCTCAGTTTTGTGAAACAGATGCAGACACTTTGGCAGCAGTGATGACTTCCATAGTTCCTCTTCCTTGATCTTTGCTTTTGCCCCTGGATTATGATGAGCTGTCCTGGACAAAATTTCTATGTGGAGATACTCTACAAAGATAATCAGAGATGTAGATTAATTTATGTCTTTACAACTCTTTTTTATTATTATTTTTTCAACATGTACCAGTTATTTGATTTATTTTGCAGTGTGGAAAAAACAGTTTTTGGTGAAACTAAGAACAACTAATAAATAAGAATGAGCAGTTGTGAATGAAAATAGTAGGCATTCCTTATGTACTCCTACTGGAGTTCCTTTATTTAGTAAATGCAACGTTGAAGACACTTTCCAAAAAATATTATCCTTTAAAAAATATGCATGTTTGAATTTGCTTAAAAACAAAACAAAAATTGCAGATGTGTTCATACTTTTCTAAGTTTATTAATTCTGCATATTATTTTGATGCTAATTTGATTATTCACATTGTAATACTTGGAAATGCATCAATCCTACACACTATTTAGGAAAAGCAATTTAGGTAGAGTACACTGGAAATTTCGTTTTATTACACTTTTCTGCTTATTCCTTGTACTGAATAGCTGTGGGCACTGCTGTGATATGTATAGTGAAAGCAGTTCTAAACTGCTGTAGTTCACTTTATTTACATTTTTCTGATGGTCATTGCTGTTTGTGTACCATTGCTTCCTGTACTGTTCCAGAGTGGGAGTGAAAATATCCATGTAACTTAGCAGTTGGCAATACTGTGTTTATCTGCTGTTCATGAACATTTTAGCTCCATCCTTGGATGTGCTACATATAGAAAGAAAACCAATATAAAAAACTAAACCAGATGAAGTTCAGAAAGAGCTACAAGAACACCATCTGCAACAATCTTTGGCTCCTCAGACTTCAAATGTCAAGTAATTTTTAAAAATTAACTCATAATTATAAAAAAATTACTGAAAATATATGAACTTACAGGTGTGCAGCAATATTGCAAAGTTTGAAGAAACAATGTTATCTTTCTAATTTGGAGCTGAGCACTTAAAACAAATTTAAACGAACTTAAAATTCCTGATCTAAATGATCAGATTTAGTTTGGTATCTCTAGTTTAATTTTCCATTTATCTCCTTGAAATAGCTGTGATATGGTTTTTAAAACGCATAGGAGCCATCCAGTCCTGTTATATGCAGACGGAACTTCTCTTGATTGCAGCAGAAACTGAAGTTGCTTATGTGGGGGTTGCATTTGTCCGTACAATTCCAAGAATAATCTAATCAAAATAATTAAAAACAAACAATGGAAAATACCACAAATTTAATATAAGCAATGCCAGCTGTAAGTCATCATCTTTAAATAGAGAAGATGTATTAAAAATTCATTAACTTGAATTTGTATTACAGTCAGTGCTTGTCTGAAATTCAGGAGATTCTACATGGACAGCTGTAATTTAAGGACAACTGCTTATTGCCTTGCTCTTGTCATAGGGTGTATCTGTCATTCTCTAGCAGGATTGAGGATTACAAAAGCAGTACAGACTGTGTCCTAATTTAACTGATCCTGTCCATCCCATGCCATGCCAGACTCTTCAGTTTTATGGTCCCCACTGCTAATAAGATCTTTACAGATAGCTTTGTTTAGATGCGCCATAGGTTACTTTGCTTCTCTATAAGAAAAGAGGAAAAGAAAAAGAACCTTTATTTATTAGATGTTGTTGTTCTTAGGGTCCCGAAAGGTCTATTGGATACAGAAGAGAGCCTTTTTATGGCAGGCCTTAAGTTTGTAAATGGATAATACTTTCAATTAAGTAGCTGAGAATAGTCATGGGAAAAGAATGCTTACGTTTATGAAACAGTCAAATTGGCATTTAAGTGACCCTTTGCATGCCATTGCTTATCTGCATTGCTTAAAGATCATTTGGTTAGCAAGATTATATATTAAAGCAAATAGTGTCAACAGACAATGAGTGTTTTACCTTCAATAAATACTTACTGTCAGATTATCAATGGTGCAGAAACTGCACAATTTTCTAAAAAACCTGTATTTAGTGCACTAAGTGAAGGTAATGTAGGCCACACACATAGTATTGTTTTTTCATGTCCCTTTTTCTAAAGAATGATAAATAGTCTGTTTTAGGAGAGTGTGTGTTGTAAAAACATTCACCTTTTCCTGCAGCATGCCCCAAATATTTCAGTTTGCATTGATAAAGCATTCGTTTAGTTCATTCAATGAAACGATAACTTCTACACAAGAGCAGCAATGGTAATGCAATTAAAATAGCATTCAAATTGGTTTTGGTTGAATTTATTTAAAGTAAATGATAAAACTTAGAGAAAATATCCCTAGAGATTTTAAAATTATTTTGCCAGCCATTGTTTACAGAAATCATTCTAAATGTTGTAAGTTCGAAGTTAAATTGTTTGACATCTTTTAAAAAAATTTCAACTGTGTGGTAATTATGTTGTAGGGAAATTGAACTGTATTAGAGTATCCTAAACTACTACAAACATTTATGAAGATTATATACTTGCTATTGAGTGAAAAAAGCAGTGGGAAATAATTCTTTCTAATTTTAAATTAGTATGATCTACTTATTAAAGCATTGATCTCTGGTCTCACACACCAGAACAGTTACTTATTTCTATTCATGCTGCTAAACTGTTCAATAATTAAAAAAAAAAAAAAAAATTCCTTTGCATCCTATGAAGTTGCTGTAAGAATGCCTTAAATCCTAATCGATCTTATCTATTATATGATTGACTTGCTTTTCAAACTGGATATTTCATTTTTATGTTTAATTTTCACATTTTATTTCACCACCTTGATGTTATTTTAATTCAGGCAAAAAAACCTATTGATTTCAGTGGAGGCTTTGGATTGTAAAATCTGTGAAACTGTCATTTTGAAGCCTAAGGTAGCTAGCTGCTTTTTTGTACATTAAAGTTGAATGAATTGAAGAAAATATTTTGAGTGGTTTTAATTATAATGAAGAGATTTAGTGACAGTCTTTTCTGTGGTGTCGTCATGTGCCTATATATACTTAATGTAATAATTTTTGATGGTAAGTCAAAGTTCTACATTACATTACTTTCATGTAGTGTTTTTTCTTTACATGTGTGACTTCTTGCTGTATTTTTTTTAATGTAGGGAAATGTAAAATACTTTTATAACATGAATACGTGTTGCATGATAAATTAATCTTGTGTTTTTCTTCATTTTCTAATTGCTGCTGATTTACTTCTTACCTGTCTATAGCATTAGGCATAGGTCTTTATAACAAAAAACCAAATTGTTGAAAGTGTCATTGCCTCAGGAGAGCCACAGAAAAATAGTAAAACCTGTAAATAGGCTATATATATATGTATACATATATATACACACTATATATAGCAAATATTAAAACATTCAGTTTAGTCTCAAAATGGAATTCCAACCTTTTTAATCTGGGATCTGTTCCTAAAATATGAAGGCACTTATTAACTTGAATTAAAGTATCATATATTTCTGGAGCCATTTTGGATTTCTTTTTTTTTACATCTCCAGCAATTTTCATATACTGCTCTTCACATTGTAACTGTCTGCACATTAGACATTTATTAACTTTGTAGAGTCCATACAGTAGCCAGAGACTGTTTTTAGAATTTGATCCATGGCCTGTGGAAGTCAATAAACTTTCATCACCTTTAGTACAACTTATATTGAAGAATTAAATGGTAGAATTTTTCAGTTATTAACTTTTCGAAGATAGTCAAAGACACTGTATTTCCTCTAAAATCAACAGCTGAATTGAAAATTGAATTGAAGAAATCTAAGTGATAGCATATCATAAAAATAATTCAAAAGGGTACTTATGAGGTACTCAGTCCTGAGAGAGAATTTGAAGATCAATGTATATTTAATGTTTTGATAGAACATTAATTCACATACCAAATTTAAGCTGTAAATCTGTGTTATGCGGTTTAAATTTTTAGTGCAACAAAGGAAGGACCTTCTTAAGATGAGACAGGAATATTTTGACTACAGCACTTATTTTTTTACTTAAGATATATTACCAATTATTTAGCCTTTACCTGTTTTTCTTTTTTAAATAATATGGTCTCTACTTCGAATAGAAATTACCGGTCACTTTATGCCAACTTTTTATGTTTGCAGTTTATATACTACGGTCTGATGTATGTCATGATGCAATATTTGATCAACTAACATACATGTGAATCTAGAGAACAGATATTAAGATTCTTGATTTATTTATTTTCCATTTTAGAGGTCAACATTATCCAGGCATTCATTATCTATGTACTGCTTTTCTTACCTTCATGTCCATATTTGCAACAGTTTTATCATGTTTTAGACAGAAGAGGTCATATGTTATTTACAGCTGAGGACATGGACAATAAGGAGAAGGAACCTTAATTGATGGAGCAAGTTGAAAGAAAAAGGTTTAAACTTATTTTCAGAGTTTCTATGATTTGATTCCTTTCTTAATGTACAGGATTGCATGTTGAAAAATAACTTTCATGGTGTTTCAGGTTTTTGTAATTTTAAAGTGGCAAAGAAAAAGATTTGAAAGATTTCCCTTATTTGGTAGATATGTTTTAAAATAAATAGAAGGAGGTTGTATCTTGCTTAGAATGTAAAACATACTGTTTGTTTTTAAAAATAAATCACACTTTGTCGACATATAAGTTATATGCCACAATTTAGGTTATTAATATATTCT